GGTTCCGAATTGGAACCGATCCGGACCGTATACAAATAGTCTATATTTTTATTATATATTCTCCCCCCATAGTATCTTCTCTTATTCTATATAAAACCTAAACTCAAACCTAAACCCGTATAATATCTTCTTTTATTTCTTTTGTTTGTTAATTTTTAGTTTTAATTTATAATGGTCTAAATTCTTATGGTAAAACTAATTTTTTTATGATTGTTTAAACTCTAGAACAGTATGTCGCTATTATAGAAAAACATGTTGCTATTTTGAAACTAATATAGCGCTATATTTATGTTTTTATGAAATTAAAGTGTTATATATATATTTTTTTGTTATTTAATTATGTGAATCTGTGGTTCTAAACCGATTCAATCTGTGTTTAAATGGATTGGTTCGGATTGGTTCCATGATTTAAACGGATTGGATCGGTTCCAATTTTTCAAGAACCGTTCCAATTTTTCAGGAACCATAAATAACAGATTGGTCCTGATTTTACCCCAATTTAGTCCAATCCGGACCATGCTCACCCCTATTAAATCCTAATCTTTGGACTTATTTTCAATCTAAACTATAAACTTATTTTCATTAAATAAAATGATCAGAAAAAAGATATTTTAGTCATTAAACTTAATGTAAGTGTATATAAAATGTCTAAAGTACTAATTTTTGGTTGAGTTTCATGACTAAAATATCATTTTTTTTGTTAGCTTTGTTTAACGGAATTAGACTAATAGTTTAAATTGAAAATAAATAAAAAAATTTAAATTAAATTAATAAAAGGGCACTCGAACCAAAAGTCCAAAATTAGATTTTCTTTGTCCAAAGGTCCAGATGTTGTTTTTCTTTGTCCATGACAAGCTATCATACAATGACCAAAATATCAATCCACTTCCGCCTCTTGCTTTTATTCCCTTATATCTTTCTCTTTGCTCAAAATAAATAAACAAATAAATAAAAACTCTCACCTCACTCACTCTCTCTGGGGGTGTTTGGGAAGGATTTTTTTTGGTTTTTTTTCACTAAAAGACAAATTGATTACAAAACAAAAAAAAAACAAATCCAAACAAAATATCACATCAAATCCCATAATCATTTCACTTTTTCTCTCACAAACATCACATCTAACTATAAAAAAAATCCAACTATCTTCCCAAACACAAAAAAAAATTTCTCCAATAGTATCCTACAACTAAAAAAATCTACAAAAAAAATCCACTTCCCAAACCCTCTCTCTCTCTCTCTCTCTCTCTCTCTCTCTTCTTGCAAATTCACAGATCCTCCGTTGCCGCCGTGACCTCTACTATTAGAGATTTGCAACTCCTCGTCGTCAACTCCTCCGGTACCATTGTTCTTCTTTAAAATCGATCAGACTTGTAGTTGTTCCTCTCTAAAATTGATTGGACTCGTCATTCTTCTTTGAAAATTGATCGTTCTTCGTCATCAACTTCCCTACCATGGAAGTTTCAGTAAAGATCAAGCAAAGAGGTTTGAAGGTCTATCTCAGATCGCGAAGGCCAAAGGCAGTCCGCCACTCCCCTGCTCTTGGATCCAAACCCCCTGTCATGACCCGAACCTGCCCCTATGGGTTAAGGATATAACCGACCAGTAATCAAGGGATTACCTACTGCCTCAAACCAAACAAGACATAACTCATCAGAGAAATGGGCCAAACGGAAGCAAACTAACAAATTGTCCATAGAGCTGTGCTTACATGGCACATCATAACAATCCATATACATACATGTTAATAACTCACATCAAAATATGTAATAACACAAAGTTCTGTACATACAGGATCATTTAAGTCTAAGTCAGTCAAACCCAAAGTTTATGTACAAAGTACTCCAATGTTTTCGCCAATATAATCAAACCATATCAAAAGAACAAAAGAGGCGAAGACAAGTCTCGTGCGTGAGACATTTGGGCTGACTCTTCAAAACCTTGATTGTTTCTCACATACTTCACTGAGGCTGGGTTTGGACCTCCCTTGGCTCACCTACAGACACATGAATGAGCGTGAGCGAAAGCCTAATGAATAATATCAAATAAAAAAGATATACGGACGTTATTTAGAACAACATACATCAGACGACCTTGGGCCCAATTCATATTTATATCTAGTATATATATATATGTATATATAGGTCAAGTGACTGCGGTTCCAGCACATCAAACAGCCTCAGACCCAATTCACTCATATCCGACGGCTTTTGGCCCAACCGTTTCTGTCTTTCGGCCTTTAGCCCATTCATTCGTGTCAAACGGCCTTTGGCCCATTCATTCATAGCATACAGCCTTTGGCCCATCCATTCATGTCAGACTATCATTCATGACAGACGGCCTTTGGCCCAATCATTCATGTCAGACTATCATTCATGACAGACGACCTTTGGCTCAATCATTCATGTCAGACGGCCTTTGGGCCACTCAATTGTATCCAACGACCTTTGGCCCAATCATGTGGCATAACAGATATTTGTCCCTAATTCAATTTAACAAACTTATAAGACTTACATGGAAGTAGGCAATTGGACGAATAACATATTTCAAATACCTTTATTAAGATATTACTCACAGTGTTCTGCAGGTGGATTCACCCTTGAGCTCGACCCTACACATTACATAACACATATGGGTCACAAACGATTCAATCCGTTCTTAATTCATACATCCCTCTTAGGCTTCTTTCTTATTCTTTTAACTTAATTATGATGCTCAATGCATGCCTAAGAGTGCTTAGAAATGAAAGAGAATGGGAAAACGAAACACAGAACACAGAACACATTTACAAAATTTCTGAAACAGGGGTCCCCGCTCGAGCGTGGACTTGGCCGCTCGAGCAGACCCATTAGGTCTGCAAAAGTACTGGTTGCCTTATTTTTATGCTCGAGCGTGACTTCAGACGCTCGAGCTGAAAGTCACTCTACATAGCTCCCCGCTCGAGCAAGAACTTACCCACTCGAGTAGACATCTATGCCTGCAAAAAGTTTTGGGAGCTCGTATTTCACGCTTGAGCGGCGGTTCCCCCGCTCGAGCAGACTTCATGAATTCTGGGTTTTCCAGAATTCTCTTTGAGCTTCAATCATGTATTCAAGTTGATATTTCTTGCATTTTACTGCCCATATTTCTCATATATGTATACTAACATGATACAAACACCAAATTACAGCATTATGAAACTCAAATCTCATGGATCAAATACATGCATGCCCCAAATCATACCAAATTTATTTCCAACACAACAAATTCATACATTCAACACCCATGCTTCTATGAATTGCACTTGCATGTGGAACACAACTTCTATTCTCAACTTAGATGATGAAGAGATGGTCAAATGTATGAACTTCAACTAAAATCTCACATGGATTATACATTTTATGCTCAAACATGCAAATTCATAGCAATTTCTCACATGCATGAGTACATTGACTTCCAATTCATCAAAACCAACTCAATTCATGTTCTTGATCATCGTTCAACTTTGTTCTTGATCATTAAAACAAACTAAAATCCATGAATTAACTCACCTAGAGGCCCAAATCTTCCAAATTATGGTTAGTTCTTGAGTGTAGTTCCAAGATCACCAAGTTCCTTAATCAAATCTCTATCTTGAGCTCCCTCTCTCTCTAAATCCAGCCCCTCTCTCTCTCTCTCTCTAGAGTATAATTTCAGATGTTGAGCTCCAAACAACCAAATGAGAGTACAAATTGGCCCTTTATATAAGTTCCTTTAATCACATTGTTTTAATACTAATTAATTGAGCATTAACTCATCAATTTAATCTATTTAATTTGGTCTGAATCAATTTTCAATTAAATTTCACCGTGGGCTCTAAAAATTACGCTAATCACAATGGCGTAATCAATTTTGGGTTTTATGGCTGATAGGGCCTTCAATTTAATTTCTAAAGCAGAAAATCAAACAGATTTTCCTACGGTGAATAGATAGAAATTCAAAACCACATATATTCATATAAATGGCACTCAAAATCATATCAAACATATAATCACAATCATAATTAAGATTAATTAGCATGATACGGACCAGGGTTATCACACCCCTTCTCTTTCTCTCTCTTTCCTTAACTCTCATCGTTCGAAGCAACATCACCGTCCTCTACTCTGCCATTGCCATCTCAATTTCAGATCTGAGCGATGAAACCCTAGCTTTTGCCGTCGGAAGGCCGTTGTTGAAACCCTAGCCTCCTCAAGAAGGACGTGTTCTTCAGATCTCTCTAAAGTCAGATTTGCACATTTTGAAGACAAATTTGGATTTCAAAAACATGTCTAAAGCTTTCTATGGAAGATATGAGCTCTCTTTTCTCTTTTCTTCTTAAGGATATGAGCTATCTTTTCTCTTTTCTTCTTAAGGTTATGGTGATGGTGATGGTGATGGTGATGGTGATGATGATAATGATGATGATGGAGCTATTTTTAATCTGTTCAAAAATATGCTTTGTGTTTTTTTATCTAAAATTTGGTTTGGCTTGGTATTGCAACAAATAAAAACATATAAAATTTGCTCTTCAGTTGATCAGATGATGATGAGGAAGATGAGGAGGGAAAAGGGAGAGAGAAAGAGAGAGAGAGAGGGGAGAGATTTGTTGGTGTGTTGTTGCATTGAACAGATAGATATAAATTTAAACAAATAAACATAAATCTGACAGATAGTCAAAAAATTAAATAGATAAAAAAAAGTCAACTAAATTAAGTAATAAAATTAAAAACAAAATGTCATTCAAAATCTACGAAAGGATTTCTTACCAAATTATTTCACAAATGATGAACATCTTACCAATAAAAAATATTCACGAAAGCTAATGCTTTATACCTTTCTTAAATTGGATTTATAACTAAATTTCTCGTAATAAAATTTAAAATTTATTTTCCTACCCTTTATAAAAAAAATTTGTTGGTTGTAAATTCTCCAATAAAATTTAAAAACTCAATTAATAAATAGAGTTCTTGTGTAATTAGATAAAGGAAGGAGGGAGAGAGAGAAAAGATACTTAACCCATCATCGACCGTATACTATTCATCACATCACATCACAAATCATCATCTTCTTCTGATCTCCCTACTTTCCTTCTCTCATATTCTCAGATATCTTTTTCTTATTTTGTGCTCTTTCTGTTGGGTTTCAATTCATCAGTGCTCTGTGATCTGAGAGAGAGAGCTTCGAAGCTAGGACGATGTCGATGCTCGATTCTTTCTTCAGCAAGGGTTTCAAAGCTGCCAAATGGTAATTTTCTTCGATTCCTCTTTGCCATTTATTTTTATCTGTAATTACCGGTAAATTATAATTCTTACAACTTTGGAATCTTAGATTTGGTTTGAATTATTGAATTTTTGGTTCGTAATTTCAGTGGATTTCTATTTTCTTCGATTTTCCTACCTTCCAAACGGGGCATTGGATTGCCCAATTTCAACCCTTCGCTGTGTTGTCATTATACGTAGAGGGTAGACCTCTTTTAGCGCGATCACAGTTTTAAATTTATAATTACGTGTAAAATTTGAATGAATAATTGTCAGTGCAGTTCTATGTTGGGTTACTGGTAGATTCGTGTGCTTGTCTTTGTATGTCAGCAGTGTAGTATTCTAGTATATTTAGTTATATCTTTGATTTGGGTAGATTCTTGAGTTTTTGGTTTGTAATTTCAGTTGATTTCTATTTTACTCAGTTTTCCCACCTTCCAAACGGGGTATTGGATTACTCAACTTGAAATTCTTTGCTGGGTTGTCATTATAAGTTTTATATAATTAATTGATACCCAGAGTTCTTTTAAATGCAATTTACACTCACATAGATGCACACATGGATGTAATATGCATTACAGTTATTTAATTGAAAAATTATGGGTAAAACTGAACGAGTTACATCGTTTACTCGAAAGTGTCAATGCAGTTGTATGTTGTGTTACGGGTGTTTATTTGCATTTGTGTGTGTTTATGCGTTGCATCGTAGTATTCTTGTATATCTAGTTATATCCTATATACAGCACAATTTTGTCGATCATTGGTGGCTTTAACAGCTATGTTTGTTTACTTTTGTTTGCTATTTACAGTAAGACCCTGCTGAAGCTGACAATTCCACGCATAAAGTTGCTAAGAAATAGGAGAGAGATTCAAATAAAGCACATGCGCCGAGACATTGCCAAGCTCCTTGAGACTGGTCAAGAAGCTACTGCTCGCATTCGGGTAAAAGCCAGTTTTTTTCATTTTTAGAATCTCATTTTGTGTGTGTTTGAATGGGAGCATAATGCATTCTTTTGTTGAGTTGTAAGAGTCTTTGTGCTTGTATTGTGGTAGTAACTTTGTTTTCTCCTTTTACTTCTATTTTAAATATCCTGTTCAGGTGGAGCATATTATCAGAGAAGAGAAAATGATGGCTGCACAGGAGATCATTGAGCTATTTTGTGAACTTATCACTGTCCGTCTTCCCATTATTGAAGTGCAAAGGTCTACTTCTGAATGAAAATACCCACTGAATTATATGTTTTTTTATTACTCTGAAATCTTTTTCTAATTCTTGGTCTACACATTTAGTCACTGTATATAACTAGTTTGAGGACTATGACAAAAAGTGTGCGCTGGTATTAATGTTGATTTCAGATGCATAACTTCGTGCCTTGTAATTGGAACGTTTTGGTGTGAAAGTTTTGCATATAGGCTTTGGATTTTGTAAATAAGTTTGGAATATTCAATGAAACATACGGGAATGCTGAAAAATCAGGTTAGCAATGTGGGCCATGTGTTTCATGTTTTTGGTAACTTGAGATTTGGGCCTGAAATAATTTTCTGAGAAAGGGGTTTATTTATCAGTAGTAGGAAGGTGCCTACTAGTGTATATGGATAAAATCTCTTGGCAGTTGTCCTTGAGACCTGGGATATGTCAACTTCATTTGGTTGGGAGTGGTTAGCCCTTTATTGTATCAATGAAAGAAAGAAAGAAAGATGGGTATTAGGCATAAGACTTATAACTACGTCCATATAGAAATTTCTTTTTAAGCATTGTGGTGCTAAACATATTTGATTCTTGTTACATATTTAATTGCAGTTTTCTAGTTTTTAAATCTGGATGAGAAATTGTTCTGGAAATTTTGTTTAATCGTCAATGGTGATTTGTGGTTGGCCTCTATTTTAGACTATGTTTCTATAAAATGTCCCATCTTCTATACATAGCACGCTGAGATGCATCCATATTTGTATGATACTTACAGAGAGTTCATGTCTTTGTATGATTACTTACAGAGAGATCATGTCTTTGTATGATACTTACACAGAGATCATGTCTTCGCATTATACCATGTGAGCTGAAAAGATCGTGTCTCTAAACAACAGCCAGATTGAAAGGGCTAATAGAAAAAATAGCTTGTGAGAAACGATTAAAGAGCGTGAACACCAGTTTTTGCAAGCTCATTTGCATGTGAGTTAATGCTGATGTAGCATGGAGCTTGATTGAGAATGCAACATTACAGGATTTGAAACTTGAGTGCTTGACCAATTCTCACTAAAGTATTAAAATCTTAGTGCAGGAAGCCCTAGGGGCTCACTCAAACTGATCTTAGTCACTTTATATGAGCAAGGACTGGCTCTTAGCAAAGAAATAAATAAATAAATAATAAAAATTAAGAAAGGAAGGAAGAAAGAAAGAGAAAAAAGAGCCATGTAACAGCTGACATTGCATGAATTATTTTGGCATTGTAGTTTTTGGATTACTTTCAAATTCAGCAAGTTTTTGTTGAGTTTACCAATCGATTCAGCATGAGGAATTAGAAACATATTTCACATTGCCTTTTTTGTCCTTGAAGGAGCGAGCAATAAATGAAATTTGATAAGTTTGACAACTTACGGTATGTTGTTACCTTGCTTTGGTTTATAGAGCTTTTTTAGTCTTGTGTTACTCTTGTAAAATGTGCCTGGATTTGTTGGTGTTAATGCCATGAAGTTTGTCAAAAATTGTAGCTACAGTACTCTATAATCCGTCCAATAGAGTAGAATGTTACTTTGATATTTCATCAGTTAAATTTGGCTGCAGATACACCTGCACATGGGTCTCACCTTCTGTTTTCACAACATTTTGTAAATGTGTTTTATTTCTTTTATTTGTGTCAATGAATCTTGATTCTTAATTTCTCTAACTTGTTAGCTTCTTATGTTCTTTTATCCATATGAATTTATACTCTACTTCTAATCAGTCAAAGTCAGTGTTGTTTATCTTCTAAATTAATTTCAAACACCCTCGATGATAATCAGGGAATGCCCTTTAGACTTGAAAGAAGCAATTTCCAGTGTGTGTTTTGCTGCACCAAGATGTGCGGATCTGCCGGAGTTGTTGCAGGTTCAAATATCATTTGCTGCAAAATACGGAAAGGAATTTGTATCAGCTGCAACCGAGCTTATGCCAGAATGTGGTGTCAACCGCCAGGTTATATATATAATTATCATCTAATTTCATACTTAGTTGTGCAATTGGCTGCCTTTTCTTCTTCTTTTGTTTAACGATATTAGTTTGTTTTATAATTTCAGCTGGTAGAACTGCTATCAGTTCGTGCTCCTGATCCTGATGTGAAACTGAAACTGCTGAAGGAAATTGCAGAAGAGCATGAGTTAGATTGGGATCCAGCTGCCTCTGAAACTGAATTATTGAAGCCGCATGAAGACTTATTGGTACATATTTGTGTATTGATTGCGTTGATTTCACGTTTCTTTTCATGCCTAATCTGTATGTTCTTGCTGCCAGAATGGACCAACTCAGTTTGTCAGTGCATCCAAATCGCCTCTTCCCAAGGAAAAGCATGATGAATCATTGCACTCTGCCTCCGAACAAGACCCCAATGAACAGTCAGATTCGGACACTGCCTTTGACACGTTAGATTTTCCTGAGGTTCCTAAAGTGTCAGTACGGCCAAGTATAGGCACTGTTTCAGCTCCAGAAATGCTTCCTTTCCCAGAAGTCGATATTGAATCAGCAAAAACTTTTGATGCAAATGAAAGTCCATCACATGAACCGCACTTCAAGCCTGATGATGAAGTGTTTCTAGAGAAGTCAGTAGCTAATAGTACTGAATTGCCCAAAATTCCCATTGGTTCAATGGAAGATAAGCAATATGTGCCATTCATATCTGCCCCATCACTATCTTCTGCGACGTTTTCTGTGAGACAAAGTGAGCCACCTCCACCTCTGTCTAGGACCAAAAGTGAAGCCAATGTGGATTTGCAGGATGTGTTGGCTGCGGCTCACGCTGCTGCTGAAACGGCTGAACGTGCTGCTGCTGCTGCTCGCTCAGCAGCTAGCCTCGCTCAGATCAGAATCAGTGAACTTGTCAAGAAAAGGAGTGACGAGATCTCTGATGGTAGTAGTGTCAAGAACCCTTTTCATGCAGATACTTACGAATCCGCTGCGGTGGATAAGCCACATCTATCTCATCAAAACTCTTCAAGTGATAGCAGTGGTATTTCAAATCCTCCCACCCCACATCAAGAAGTGTCAGGTCTTCCTTCATATGACGATCTCAAAATGGAATATGATTCTCCCCTTTCAAACAGCCATATTCCTGGACTTGACACTGCTCATCACCAACCTCAGAGGTTGACTTCGATGGATGATGAATCTTACTCATCATACCCAAGCTTGTTTACACGACAGGACTCGAATCTCAGATCTGGTGTCCATTCGTTCTCCGACAATTACCGATCCACCAGTGAGCAGCAGGTGTCAAGTCTTCCTTCATATGATGATCCCAAAGTGGAATTTGATTCTCCCCTTTCAAAGAGTGACATTCCTGGACATGACACTGCTCTTCATCCACCTCAGAGGTCGACTTCAATGGATGATGAATCTTACTCATCATACCCAGGCTTGTTTACAAGACAGGACTCTGATGTCCATTCGTTATCAGACAATTACCGATCCACCAGTGAGCAGCAGGTGTCAAGTCTTCCTTCATATGATAATACCAAAGTGGAATTTGATTCTTCTCTTTCAAAGAGCGACATTCCTGGACATGACACTGCTCATCACCAACCTCAGAGGTCGACTTCGATGGATGATGAATCTTACGTATCATACCCAAACTTGTTTACACATCAGGACTCTAATGTCGGATCTGGTGTCCATTCGTCTGCAGACAATTCCCGATCCACCCATGAGCTTTGAGTTGGCTTATCATCTGTCTGCCTTCCCTCTTTATGCTTTTTTTGGCTCTGGTGAGTGAATTCTTGAGTATTTGGTACCCATCCACCCATGAGCTTTGAGTTGGCTTATCATCTATCTACCTTCCCTTGTATGATTTTTTAGCTCTGGTGAGTGAATTCTTCAGTCTTTGGTCTCTTGCAATGTCAATTTAAGTAGTGGCCTGTAAAGTGATGAAGTGATCAGACAATAGACATAACAAGTTTGCACGTCATGGCTGCCTTTGTGATAATGAAATGAGGTGACAGTCAGAGAGTGTTCCTCTGCTTGAGTAACGGAAAGGAAACACCATGCCAAGGCAGTTCATGCTACATTATACGTCTGAGTTTGTATGTAGGAATATGTGATGTACAAAAGCTTCATGTATCTTCAAAATAAAGGTTTTCTTTCTTCTTTCAGCTTCCATTTTTTGTTTTGTTTTGTTTTTTTTGTTTGTTTGTTAGTGTGATTATGTTCAGAACAAATTACATGAACATTTTGTTTTTTCAATGATCATTTCCTTGTATTATTATTAAAATATTTCAATCTAGTTACCTGTATATACATGTATTCATATTTCTGTCAACTGGTGTGGTCAGTCATTTTAGAACCAGGCTTGTTCACCAGCATTGAGCTTGGAGTGGCCTCTGAATTGCATTGTGTGGATACTTTTTGCAGAGCCTTCTTGAGCTCAAGTGCCCAAGTGCCCATCGAGGCTCTCTGAACTCTACTCTTGCAAGCCTCCTCGATGAGTAAGACCTTTGAGCGTGTACTTTTGGTGCTGCCCCCAATCATTCCTAGTTAAAAACTAGAGTTACTTCAATTTACATCACAAAACAAGCTTCATTACACTTGTTTTCCAATTACATTCTCTTCAAAAATTTAAAACTTCATTTTTTATGTCCTCACACTGGGCGTAACACCAGACAAATCCTTATCTTTGCACCACCAACCTTTCAAATTGTAACTTTACCCTCATCCCAACCACCACCCCTGGCCACCTCCAACCACCAGCCCTCCCCCATATTGAACCCCCCTTTCCCAGCCCCACCATCGTGCAGGAGAGAGAATAGATCTAAGGTTTTTCAAGTGAGAATATTCCTAGGATTTTAGATCTAGAGTTTATGGAAGAAGATTAAGGGGTGGAGGCTACGGAAAAGGAAAACTAGTGGCGGTGGCAACAAGGGGTGGCTGTCAGTGGCAGCAGGGGTTCTAGACCAATGGAGATGGCAAAAAAGTGATCGGTGATAATGAGAAATTAAGGGTTTTAAATTTTTTGAGGGTGGCTGTCAGTGGCAGCAGTTTAAGGGGTGGAGGCTACGGAAAAGGAAAACTAGTGGCGGTGGCAACAAGGGGTGGCTGTCAGTGGCAGCAGGGGTTCTAGACCAATGGAGATGGCAAAAAAGTGATCGGTGATAATGAGAAATTAAGGGTTTTAAATTTTTTGAGTTTAAGTGCTGCTTGGTAATTTTTTACAAAGAAAAAATTTTAATAAAAAGATGAAAAATGAGATGTAAAGAGATTTTTGTGGTATAAATAGAAACACGCAAGATAAATCAATCAATCATGCAATTACAGCCAATGAAGCAGAGATTGGCCTCACAAAGAGCTGACATTAGAGTTTACCAAATTTAAGTCAACATCACAAGATTATGTGCAAGTTTATTTACAGTGTGTTTAGTTAAAGGATTTGAAAAAAAATAATAATAATAAAAAGAACATATATAAGTAAAATATGAATAAAATATATTTAAATTTTACCTAATTTTATACATCTTTTTCCTTTTCATTTCCAAATCTCTTTCTAAATCTTCCAACCAAATCCAACGTTATTAGACAAAATATATTAAACTCATGAAACATAGTTTACACAAGAAAATTAACAGCACAAAAAATACAGTCTGTCCATCCTATAGGTTATCAAGGTCAGATTGGGACAACAAAACAGTTCGAGAAACCCAAGTCACTCCTAAAAACATGCAACATTTGCATCTCTGAAAATCTTCCTTCCTTAGCACTAAGAGACTCCTAACCTAGACACCCAAGTAGCACATTTTTGTCTACAAAAATTGCCAACACATTAAATCCATTTACAAAATCAAATTCTAACAAAGATCAATTTCCTCTGCAACAAAGGCAGATTGCAAATGCCTTGCATATTGTATGGATACAGTAGCTAAAGAGATCTACCAACCATATCTACAAAATAATATCAAACTTCCACTAGCAGCAAGAAATGTATTGTAAAATCAAATTCCTCACTCTCATCTATACTGTAAAGATGTGAGGCTGAGGCTTGAGTCTAAGTGTATGAACTTCTAGACAAGGCCAAGTGTATCAACTTCACATAGGCGTACAAATTTCAAGACTAGGGGAAGCAAGCATACCATAAAATGACTAGCTTGAACACCAACCATGCTCTATACCTATCCTCTCTGTGGAACTGACAAAATCAAAAATAAACTCATGGCATGAGATGGTTTTACCTAAGCTCAAAACAGGTTTATATCACACTACTAGCAAAGACCACACCCAGCAAATATAGAGCATGGACACCAGTAATCAGTAGTCCCCTTCCTCTATCCTTGCTCGTCATTAATTTTCAACTCGGCCAAGGCTACAACTTGTTAAATCACCTTAAACTGCAAATATTAGTGTGGATTACAAAAATTCTGTCAATACAAATTTATATGCACAAGTGTAATGAATATAATTCACAAAGGGCTCTTACAGAGTTACAGTAGGCTTAAAGGAGGATTTTGTTAAAAAGAAGAAAGAAAGAAAAAAAGTAAGAAAAAAAAAAAGGAAAGAAAAACAGAAAACTTTGACAGCCAAAAACAAGAGAAAAAAAAAAAGAAAAATACTTTTTTTCTTTACTTCAACCATGAATGGGTCACCTTGGACCAGATAACTCGAATGCATGTAGATTTTCTGTCGAGTCAACAATCCAGTCAGAGTGTGGGTGAGGTGCGAGTTCAACCTCCTGGCGAAGAACTTCTACCTTTTGCCACTCATCCCACTTCTCTGCCAAGCCGTCACCCTCTAGCATTCTCACCACTTCTGACATCTTAGGTCGTTCCATTGGGGAACCCTGCGTGCAGAGCAGCGCAACCTGTATAAGCTGTTCCACTTCGGACTCCACATAATTGTTCTGCAGATCGGGATCAACAAGCATTTCTAGCTTCTTCTCCTTCAGAAGTCCTTTTACCTGAATAAGAAATGTATGTCTGATGTTAAAAGCTTATATGGTGGGACATATAACATAGTGAGAGTCTGATCATTTGTGCAGCTCATTTTGATAACAAGACAATGAGCTATGAAACTGTTCGAGATGCAATAAGCAAAAGCTAGAGATCCCAATCAATTGCTTGTTCAATTTTGGCAGATCCTGTTTCGCTGTTCCATGTTGCCACATTGGGTGGGTATTACAGTTCGTGCAGCCATATGTTATGCGGATTCTTCTATTTGCCCCAAAGTACTTGTGGCCACTGTATATAATGTGTAAGGGTGTGAGATGTGTGTCCGATACCCGTACCCAGTTTAACCACTTAGATCATCAAAAAATTTTAAGATTTTGAAGAGGAAAGAACTCATAATTGCTCGTAAATAAATATTTCTAGTCTCATATGGATCCGAGAGATTTCACAAGTCTTGTTTAATTTTAAGTATGTTTCTATGTAATCACAATATCTAATCTAAGAATGTTATATAATATGAAATGTGTGTGTGTATGTGTTCATGATAAATCTCCGTACCCATATCTAACTTTTGAATACATATCCCAATATCCTAAAATTTAGGTTTATGGAGGTTGATGCTGACACGCAGCTCCACCTGATATTCATAACCAAATAAATCCATGTAACATAGGTTGAGTCATGTCACGATGAGCATTTCATATCTGAAGGCTTCATAAGGGACCCAAACCATCATACGAAGATTCCTCCCCTAAGTTATACTAATACGTCCACTTTTCTTCTCCAGTGTCAAGAATGAAAATAATGGTGAGAACGCAAGCACAATGAGCAAACACATGTACCGTTACCATATGCTTTTAGCATTATTTCCACTCTTAGGGTTTATGTGGTCACAAAACTAACACTGCCTGAACTATCTAACAAAAGATGAATCTGCTAGGCCAATTTAAGCTTATTAAAAAAGACCACAAGTAAAACAAAAGCTAAGTGCAACATAAAGATCAACTATAGGAATTTTTTCATGAACAGCACAATAAAATCAATAAAAATGTACAGAAAAATATTAATGCATACCCAATCAAGCAACATGACATCATCATCATTTGCAAGACGAGCAAGATCAAAAGCTCTTTGTCCTGTTATTAGCTCCAGAAGCATTATTCCATACCCAAAAACATCAGTTTTCTCGGATGATTTTCCAGTGGAGAGGTACTCAGGTGCTATATGCCCAATTGTGCCACGTACAGCAGTAGTGACGTGGGTGTCCTTGTAATCCATAAGTTTAGCCAAGCCGAAGTCTCCGACGACAGCCTCAAACTCCTCATCCAACAAAATATTTGCAGCTTTTACATCACGGTGAATAATCTTTGGGTCACAGTGATCATGCAAATAAGATAGTCCTCTTGCGGATCCCAGTGCAATTCGCTTCCTTGTCGGCCAATCAAGAGGTGGTTCGGAGGGAGGGCGCTCTACAAAAATGCATAAACAAAATAGTTAGTGAAAAATTGAAGGTGACATGATCTTTCTTTCTAGTAAAACAATCTGCAAGTACCAAATGATAACTAGATTTTAAGAATGAGATCAATAATGCTCAAAGCATGAAAGGAAATGGGGGTGGAAATGCTGATCCCCAACATAAATGCTACAGCCATTGAAATCAAGCAAACGTGTGTGAAAGCAGTGAAAAATAAAGCACTGACAAATGTATATAAATGTTAAAAAGAATTACCTCTTAAACATGATGCAACACTACCATTTGCCATATAGGGATAAACAAGAAGCCGCTCAGTTGGTGTCATACAAAAACCACGTAGTCTAAGGAGATTCCGATGCACAGCCATGCTGATCATCTCAACTTCTGTTTGAAATTGCAACTCCCCGCCAGGTGTACGCTCCTCCTTTAGTCGTTTTACAGCCACCAATGTGCCATCTGCCAGCCGTCCCTTGTATACCTTACCGAATCCTCCTCTGCCCAAAATATTTTTATTGCTAAAACCATCTGTTGCAACTTGTAATTCTCGCAGCGAAAACCTTTTAAGCTGCCCCAGATGAACCTCTGGATCCTCTTCAGCTGCAAAGAAATGTAAATAAGTGGTAATCAAACAGTAAGATACGTTCAGTTCAACCCAGTTCTCGATTAATTCACTAACCTGGCACATCAAAGAAATATTCTTGTGGTTTCCTCCGACGCCACCATGCAAATGCAATTGCAGGCACAGCAAACAGCAGAGCAGCACCAGCAGCAACACCTCCAGCAATTGCTCCAGTGGCACCATTCCCTCCTATTTATATTTAAAGAAATAATAAATTCCATCCCCTTCATAACGACACCATGTAAAATCAAACTTAATCACATTAACACAGTTGAACTAGGATTCAACAAAATTAACAACAATACAACAGAAAGGATAGCCAGAAAATTACTACTTGCACAAAGTTGAAACTGAATCGGTAGAGTCATTCACAATTGTGCAAATTAAAATATCAAATGATCTTCAACAAATGACTACAGAATGCAGATGTCCCTGCAATTTTTTTTATTTTTATTTTTTGAATTTCAAAGTTGAGAACGAGCTACTCAACCCACCCCACACTTGAAATGAAACTGATAAATGCACATGCACCTACTCACACAATAGCACTTCAATAGCTGATGATAAGAATAGTTGATTTATTCCAAGATGGAACTAATCAGGCCAAAAGATGAAAGACATGCCTTAACCTACCCAACATCATATAATGAGAGAAATTTAAACAATTATAGAACAATCACCTGGAGTTGAAATTGGTGGCAGCGGTACAAATGGAGGTGGCGGAGAAAATGGAGGAGATCCTGGGCAAGGGTGTCCGGTAACCGGACCACAGAGGTCCAGGTTATTAGCAAAACTGTAATTGGAAAATCAACCATTCATCATTACCCATGAAATCAGTCTTGATGAAAGTGGATCAATTAAACAGCAACAAACCTGATGGGTGTAAATAGTGAAAAGGAACCATTATCTGGAACTGTTCCTGCGAGATGGTTGTTTGATAGATCCCTGCATAACAATGCAATACAAGAACATCACATGTGAGAGAGAGGGGGCGGGGGGGAGAAGTTCCACATCAAGAAATAATGAGACAACTTGGCACTCACAATACTTGCAGTGATGAGATATTAGTCAATGACATAGGAATGGGACCAGTCAAGCTGTTGTTGTTGAGCCGGCTATCCTTACATGGCATTGGAAGAGTATGTTAATATCCAAGATAAGCAGAGAGATGTTATCACACTAATCAAAATTGTAAGCATAAACAGGAGAAAAGTTGGAATATGTTAGAATACAAAGTCTCTCAGCGTGGAATCATGTAAAGAAACACAAGGAATATTGTGAAGAATGTTGAAGCTGAATGCCAAGTCCATTTGCTGGCTATATATATGTCAAGAGCCCATATCTTGTTTTGCCTAACGGATAAATATTTAATATACATTTTAAAACAAGGTAACTCCATCCATTTCTTGAAATTTTGTCTTGTCAGAGACTCTCTTGTTTTCATTAGTATCATAATCATGGCTCAAATGCATGTTTACAATATTGTTTGGGCAAAAAATAACATGAATCTTTTGCTTCCAAATTATTATACATGAGACCAATAATTAAAAATAAATGTTGTTTGCAAGGTGTATTTGCTAGGACGCACAGGAAAACTCTGGGTCCAATTCTAATTGGATAAAAACTTTGGACAAGAGATCTAATTGATGACGGGGATTTTTACTTTTACTTATTTATTTTCTCTAATTGAATCTTTAATTTTATTTTCTCTGATAAAAATACTTTCGCCTATCCTTCTTACCCTCATCCCTCCAACTGTCACTTTCCATTAAAATTGCAAAGCCATCTGTTTAAATTCTCAGAAAACCCCATGATTTCCAGATCATTAACGGATTTCTGACTTCAACAACACAAACACCAGTCAAAACCAACCAATTCCTCAAAATTGCCAGTACCATTACGGTGTTAGACACTTGTCATACGTCTCACCAACTAGTAAAGAAAAAGCAAGAATAACTATAAGATTAACAGTAAATAAAATCAAGTAAGAGATAAGAATACACACAGGAAGCGCAGTTTCGACAGTTTGCCCAAAGTGTCTGGAATGGGACCAGTAAAACCGTTCAAGTAGAGATCCAAGCTCACCAAGTCAGTCAGATTTCCAAGGTCACTAGGAATTGGTCCACTTATATTATTACTGTAGAGTTCCCTGTCAATAACAAATTGAATCAATGATTTGCATATGAAAATTCACAATAGCATATACATACAAGTTAAAGATTACAAACAAATCATAAATACATGCATGAAGCCATCTATTATAAAAGTATTTTCTCCTTTAAGCGCTCAAAGGGTAGTCCAAACTCCAAAGCCAGTTCAAAGCAAAACTAATCAGGACAGGAATGAAACTCAACATCTAGCTGGAAGTTAGAGGAACATTCAAATCAAGCAATCCATTCTTTTTCTTTGGCTGGAATTTAGCTGGAATAAGCAAACCCAAAGACGGATCTTACAGAACAACATCTCAATATGTAGTTATATGTTTATAGGATGCAAATTCATGCCAACATCTATCTTAGGTGCTACAGTCCTACACCCAAAATACTTTGTTAGTTCTTGTATTACAATTCATCCTCATCATGCTTTTATTTTTTATTTTTGGGGTATTTCTTAAAAGAACAAAATTAAAGGAAGAAATTTTTTGAATCGCTAAATTTAACAGAAATTGCTAGGATATTTTTATAATTTTCTTAGCAGAATATGTTTTCTGCTTTTTCTTGTGTGTTGTACAATGAAAAATGAAAGTGAACAAAAAATATTTTTTGTGGTCAACAAAAAATGAACTGAAAAACTAAAAGCAGACAACCTATTTTGGACCTAACAAGCTAGGCCAGAGTCTTACCAACACGAACACTAGTATCCCCATCACCATCATCACCCCCTGCCCCTAACATCACACCACAACTTCCATCACCGCCACCATCACACCACAGCCATACCACACCACCCTACCACCATCGCTGCTGCCAGACCACACCACTCAACCACAACCACTAGTATCATCATTTTCAGGGTCACAACCAAACACAGGAAAATGTTTTCTGTTGTAGACGTTTTTTGGAAAATATTTTTCTGCAGAAGCATATGAAGAGTTCATTATAAATATTTTTCTTACTCTAAAATCAAATTCACCAATTAAAATAACAATTTTTTTCGCTACATTAGTTCTTACATATCTTCATTTTTATTCAGTCAAGATTCTATTTTCACCTCAAGTTTTGAAGTAATAACTTAGTTAAGAGTTGGTTTGGTGAGAACCATAGAGAAGATTTCTCAAGATTTACTAAGCCTAAAATTTATTCATTTAAATTGTGATATCCCTTCAAACTAATTCCAAAAATCAACCAAATTTTCACTTTTAAATCTATCGATTTTCAATAGCTAGAGATCAAACAAGTGTTATTAAAGGCGATAGGCGCACTGAAGCACCAAGGTTTCCTAGGGCCTAGGCGCAAAGCACAAGGCGAGGCGTAGGCTTCATCGAAGCCAGGCTCATTTTCACGATAGAAAATAGATAATTTAATATAAGCAAATAATTCATAGCTCAACATAAGCAAAATGAAATATCAAATATTTTAAAACATAGATACTAACAAACAACAATATTTTATTATAGACAAATAATTTAAGGTTCACATAAGCACAAACATCTATCCAACTCATAACTATTTGAAAATAGCAACAAAATCTAAGTATCGAACAAGATAAGCATAGAGAAGGAGATTGAGGAGATGAAGAAGAAGAATAACAACAACCGTTAGTCTAGTACACCTTTATAGAATTAGGGCTCAAAAAGTGTTGGGTTGCAATGTATGTTTAGGGATTTAATCCTTTGTAGCTGTATGTAAACAAAAAAATGAGATTCACTGAAATCAAGGGTTGTAATTGTAATAAACAAAGATTTTAAAAGAAGCGCACAAGTCGTGCGCCTTGAGCTTAAGTCTAAAGTGCACACTTCATGCGCCTTTATGGGGCTTTTTTATATCGCCTGGCCAGAGATGTTCCGAAGCGCATTGACTGCGCCTTGACAAGCCTTGGGCCTAGGCACACCTTTAATAACACTGGATCAACCTAACTCATTTGAAACTCACCGACCTTGGCTTTTACCGCATTCATTACATCAGGGCCAATTACAAATTAAATAGTTTCCACTCTTCCCTACTAGTGTTAGCAAACTCTTTCTCCTTATACTATCCTTTGCAATGCTGGTCCTTCCCACTCACCAAAAGTAATAACTACGATATTTGGTAATAAAAAGTGTAAGCCAAGTATCCTGTGATGCAAAAAAATCCTGCAATCTAGATAATTCCACCTTTTCTTAACCAAATCCAACTCCTTAATTCATTAGTAAATCCTATTACATAGAACATAATTGCTGTCAGTATATGCAAGAGAGAATATGAAACTAGTAGCCAGTGTAATACTGGATAATGTTATTCACTTGTTATTTTGGGACAAGTGAGTACTTGATTACCATTGTCTAGTTGAAAACAAGAAGGGGGCGGGGGAACCAACTACGCATTGTTGACCTAACAATCATAAAATAACAAACTAAAACAGCAAAACAAAATCCATAGCATGAGATCAGAACTTACAAGTACTGTAAATTTTTCAGCTGGCCAAGCTGTGGAACCAACTGACCAGATAAAGCTGCATTGCCAAGATCACTAGCAAAAAGATAGGAAGAAAGGATAAATCATATACAGTACCATGTGCAAAGTAACTCATTAAGTCACTCTTCCAAAGCTATTATGTCGGGTTACTTACACTCTTATAACACTATTATCATTGTTACATGTAACATGAAACCATGTGCAGGGGTTGACAAGGGTAGGATCCCAACTCTGTAGCACATTGTTGGGATCTTCCAAGTTGGTTCTTAAGCCATGCAATGCATCACCTGTTTATAGATGCAAGAAAAAAGCAATTAGATGCCAGCTATAACAATACATAAATAAAGATATGTCATCAAAATTTTGGACTAGGTAGATCAAAAAGAATATTCCAATTGCCACAAACAGCAGCAAATCCAATTAAGATGGCAGACTTAAGTTTCAATATAGGATTATGCAGAATTGGTGGAAACAATTTTAACTTGGTAGTTGGATAATGTTGGAAAAAATAGCTTATTAAATACAAGGCAATATCAGGAGATCTTAAAAAGGGACTTAATTAATTAGGAAACATATTAGAACATCTTCCAAATGTGTAACACTAACACATCTGAGTATCATCCATTCTGTGTGCATTGGACTAGTTATACAGGCAGCACATTAAAGAAACAACAATGCTAATTGGACACAAAAATTGCACGAATGGACAAGATTTATTTCTCAAAATCCTATCCATTCATTTATTTTGTGTTTGATTCATGTATTGTTCATCAACATACAATGAATAGCATTATCTAGAGATAAATGCAAGAATCCAATTGTACTACAAGAAGATCAGCCACCATAATTATTAAATGTACCAAATTTGCAACAAATCACATTAATCAATGTCAGATGAAAAGAGAAATTCAATTATTTCCAATCTACGGAAACTTTTATTTCGCATGTTCAAGTATAGCAAACTAAAAATGCCCATTTGTGGAAGCAAACAAATAAAGATTAGCATTTGAATGAATAAAAAAGGAGCTAAAAATCAAAAGCATGAACATCAACACACCTTCCATATTAGCAAAAATGGACCTCAGTGGATGAACCACCATGATCAACCACAAAAAACATGATTTCACAACCAACTCTCTCTCCATCACTACCTAATTATATATGTGTATATATACCTAAATCATACAAAGATGGACAAGTAGATACATATCGAAATGAATAATATGTATCACACTATCACCACCCTGTCAGTAATCTTTTCCCAGATCCAAAATACTCAACACCCAGAAACAGCATTACGAAACCCACAATTCCCACAAAACCCTAGCTCTGGAGTAGCTAAATCTCCACCATTTTTGACCCAAAAACAGTCGGAAAAACCAGAATCGAAAGCCGATCTCATTACACAACAGCAAATGAAGCAATAAATATTTTTTTTTAAAAAAAATCTGCAATTGTTTCTCTGCACACAAGACCCTTTTGCTTCAACTTTTTTATCTCTCTGTGACTCTCTCTCTCTGATTGTAAGAAACCTTTTCACATCTGTATACCCTTTTTCTCTCTCTAGAACTCTTTCTCTCTCTGGTGTTTTGTTTGGGTTTCTCTCTCCACTCAGTTGTGTGGCAGAGTGGTATAATGTGCGTGTGTGCGCTACTATTATATCTTTTTGCGTGCACTGCTTTGAGAGCTGCCCGAACGGTGGACGGGCTGCCCGGACTGCCCCAACTCGGTCAAAAACGGCCTTAGCCTATGTGCCTGCACAACAGTGATACATCTCACTAAACGTAAATAAAAATGATCTAATAAACTCTAATAATGGGTTGTTTTGAAAAGTTGGTAAAAAATTAATTTTTGATTTTTTATCAAGTTTTTAAATTTTTTTGGAAGTAATTTGGAAAGTTGATAAAAAGTTAACTTTTTACTTTTTAGTTTAATATTTATTTATGGTGTCAAATTAAATTAAAATGACCAAAATACCCTTACCCAACATAAGAGATTATTTTTTTTATTTTTTTTCATAGGCCCTAATTTGTAATTTTATAGCTGCGTTTTTTGCACTTGCCAAATGACTTTTCTGGCGTTTTTGACGTGGCTTTTTACCATGTTCCCAAAATGGCACAATATGGGAAATCAAAATAATAAAAAAATAGTTTCAATTTAGAGCACTAAATCAATAACTCTAAAAGCACCATTAATAGGGCCTCGTTTGGGAACAGGCTAATTTAATAACTTTTTGGCTATTTGGCTAAAAATGTAGGTAAAAAAAACTTGTATGTTTGGGATAATTTTTTGGCTAATTACGAAAAGATGTGCAAAAAGTAGAGAGAAAAGAGAATCTTTGACTTTTTGGTATAAGTTGTTGGCTTTTTGGCTAATTTAGTAACTTTTTGGCTAATTGGCTAAAAAAGTTAGTTCCCAAACGGGTAAGTGTCGTTTTGGGAACAAAATAAAAAGTTATGTTTTTTGACAAAATGTCCAAAAACGCAAATGTCAAAAACGCCACAAATTGGTTTGGAAAGTGTCAAAAACACAAGTGTAAAATTACAAATTAGAACCTATGACAAAAAAATAAAAAAACAAATTTCTTATGTTAGGTAAAGGTATTTTAGTCATTTTAATTTGATTTGACACCATAAACAAATATTAAATTAAAAAGTAAAAAGTCAACTTTTTACCAACTTCCTAAATCACTTTTTAAAAAGCTAAAAAGCTTGGTAAAAAGTCAAAAACCAACTTTTTATTAACTTCCCAAAACACCCCTAAATTGGCAAGTATAAGAAAGAAAGAAAAAATAAATAAAGGTTAAACTATCACATTAATAATGGGGTTCACATGATGTCATGTCATTAATGGTGCATTAATGGTGTTAAATTAGTAGCATGAAACATTTTTCAAAAAAAAAATGTAAGATACAAACATCACTATCACAGCGGGGCTCACACTCAATTAGAGCTCCTAGAACTTCTTTATTAGAACTCTCAAACATTTTTGTTACTTGGGATGATTTAGAAAGTTAGTTCAAAGTTAGGCTGTATTTGGTTATGTGTTTCAAATATTTTTTCACCCACTAATTTGAGTGTGATATTTATTTTGAACTTTCAAACTATAATTCTACATTTACTTTTGAAAACTTCTTCTAAGGCAAGGAAATTTGGCTAATTCGATTGTCCTCTCGGACATCCCCTGAATGTCCGACTGGTTGACCGGCCGATTGACCATAACAGTATTCAATTTTTTTTTCCCCTTGGGCACCTATTATTTTTATATTGTAAATAAAAAAATATTTTCGGAATTTTTTAAATTTTTATATGAGTTTTGAATAAAATTTTGGATTATGTGTTTAGTTATGAGTTGTAATTTTTTTAATCAAATAATTTTTCTAATTTCAAAAACTCAAAACTCCTTCTAAAACTCAATTCAAAACTCTTTTAAAAACTCATACCTAAACAAATTTTTTATACTCAAATCATAATTCCAAAACTCATAAACTCAAAATACAACTCTATTATCAAATTATATTTAGAAAACTCTACCAAACGTTACCTTAGTTTTTAGGAAATACTATGAACCCTAAATAATCTACCAAATGTTTTACCAAATCTCTCACATGGTGTGAAACCAACACGTGTGGGTGTGTGGGTTCCACACCCATGTAAAAGGTTTGCTAAAATATTTGGAGTCCCTAAAATTGTTCTTAGTTTTTTAACTTTTTTTTGTCTCTTTAGATATAAAAAATGTAAGAAGCGATGTAATTCAAAATGAGTTAAAAGTTAAAAACTAATTTTTTTACCAACTTTCTAAATTGCCCCTTGGTTCGATTCGGTTGCTACTTTTTTTTTACTAAGGTTTTGTTTAGTCCATATTATTTTAGTACATTATTTTATTTAAATCATAATTATACCATTTGTGTCCTACCACTTTTTTACTACATTATTTTAGTCCCAACTTATATTTATATTTTTTTTTATGAAAAAAAAAATGCTAATCTACCACTTTTTAAATAACTCCTTAAATTAAAAGTTGGATTTGATAAATTTTACATTTAAAAAAAAAATAAAATATTTTTTTAAAAATAAAACTATTGCTTAAAAATTCATGCGTTTGTAAATGTTTTGAAAAAACAACAAATAGTTTAAACTTTACTAGTATTGAAAAGTGTAAATACGTTGACTTTTTTTTTTTAATGATTTCTCCACACAATTCATTCTACTCAGAAGTATTACTTCTAGTTGAATCATTACTTAGGTCAAGTTTGACATGATTGAAAAAAGATAAAAAATTAAAAAGTCACTATCCTATTTAAGTCACATTATCTTATTTAAGTCACGTCACCTCTCTAACACATCACTTCAAACCCAACTCAAACTCAACCCATATTTCATAAAAAATAAAAAAATACACTTATTTAATCTTCCCAAACTAGACCTAAGTCTTTTCTAACTCGATCAAAAGACTGAGCTCTAATCCTATTCAAACTCTTGAGATTTGTTGTTCGATATTTACCTCCTACGTGACTTTTTATTAAAATATTATATTTTTTATATCTTTCTAAAAAGTAAAAGAATTTATTAACGATAAAAAAATAAAATATATATTTTTTAATTGTTGTCCAATAAAGATAAGACATGTCGCGGGAAAAAAAATTCAATTGCTAACTAACACAACCTGGCACCGTTTGGGAAGTGAGTTTATGGGTTTTTTTGACTATTTTAGTCACAAAAAATAAAATAAATTATTTTAACAACAACAAACAAAACATCACATCTAACCCATAATCATTACACTCTTCTCTCAAAAAAAGGTAAAAAAAGTCAAAAAGTCAAAAAGTCCTTTTCAAACCAAACTTTTTAGCCCAGGCTAATAGTCAAAAAAGTCAAAAAGCCAAAAAGCTAACTCACTTCCCAAACGGAAGCCTAATCAATTGGCTAAAACTTTTTTTTGGCTTAATAGCTAAAATGTAACTAAAAAAAATTTGCAATATTTTAGTTAATTTTTTTTTAAAAATATAAAAAAGTCAACAAATTTTTCACTATTACAAAAAAAATCGAATATTTATTTCATTTCAATTTACTTTTTGCACTTTTTTTTTTTTTTTTTTGGGTAAGAAGTGATTTTTTTTCCAAAACATATATGATATGTTTTTACTTCATATTTTAATTAAAAAGTAAAACAATCACTAAAAAAATTACTTTCCAAATGGGACCAATCGAACTCTTCAATTATGTTAATTGAAAAATTGGAATTGAGCATATGCTATATTTGATTTTGTTATTATTTTTATTCAACACAAGGAGTAATAAAACTTATAAATTGAAAAAACTGAATTTGTTTTGGCAATAAACTAGTTAAAAGTCAAAAAATCACTACCAAAAATTAATAGCTAAAATGTAACTAAAAAAAGTTGTAGTCAAATAGAACCTCAATATTTTAGTTAAAAAATTTTAAAAATATATAAAAAAGTCAACAAATTTTTCACTATTTCAAAAAAAAATCGAATATTTCTTTCATTTCAATTTACTTTTTGCACATTTTTTTTTATATAAGAAGTGATTTGTTTTAAAAAACATATATGATATTTTTTTCACATCATATTTTAATAAAAAAGTTAACCAATCACTAAAAAAATTACTTTCCAAATGGAACCAATCAAACTCTTCAATTATGTTAATTGAAAAATTGAAATTGAGCATATGCTATATTTGATTTTGTTATTATTTTTATTTAACACAAGGAGTAATAAAACTTATAAATCGAAAAAACTTCATTTGTTTTGGCAATAAACTAGTTAAAAGTCAAAAAATTACTATCAAAAAGTCAACTTTTCTCTATATTTTTGTACACAAAGTCAAGAAATTAATTAAAATAGCTAGTTTCCAAAAATATATAACAAAAAAAAAAAAAATCATCATCAAAATATATTAGACCATCTCCAATGGTTACTCAAACATTTTATCAAATTTAAATTTGATGAAAAATGAGCTATTTTCCTTCTCCAACGGTTGCATCAAATAGGTATTAAATTGAGAATTTCACTTTTCTTTCATCAAACTAAGGGCAAATGTGTCTTTCATCAAATCACTATTGATTGATGTTTCCTTAGATGTCTCCTTGGATGTCTTCTCGGTTGACCACCTCAAGATAAAAATTTGTGAAAAATTTGCATTGGCCGGTTGATCGCTTGGTCAACCACCTCAAGGCAGAAAAAAAAAATTACACTGGCCGGTCGATCGGTGTTCGGATGAAACTCCAAAATCCTCTATTGGAACATTTGATATCAAATAAAATTTTTACTTAAATTTGATGAAAAAATTAATGTACCATTAGAGATGCTCTTATGTCTCAAAAAAAATTTCAATGTCTTAAACAGCCAATTTAAATGAGGCTTTGGTCTGGCTAGATAGAAGAATTAAATTTACAATTTAATGTCAAGAATATAATTTTATTTATTTATTTCAATATCTATTTAATAGCGACACTAAATTTTGGTCAATCTAATTGTACTAAAAAAATTAATGTAATTATGTTAAAAATATAAAGAAGTTAGTATAAAATTAGTCATGCACAACAAGAGTAAAAAAAATATAAATAAATAAATAAAGTTTAAAAATAGAAAAATGCTTGGGAGCA